GGCAAGCTCAGCCAGAATTATTGACATTAAGATCATTTTGTTAGTCATCACCCTAAAAGAAAACAAATGTACATTGATAGCATAACAATGGGAAGAAGAAGATAGCACCATAAGCCTGGAGCTTATTCAGAGGTTGTCAACAAAAACAACCATACAAATCAATAGCAAAAAAATCTAAAGAATAAAAATTGATGAGCTACTAGTATCGATTTAGTAAACACAACTTACCTTCGTGCCATCGAATTTAAAATTCTACGAGATCTCCCAAGATTTGCATCCATATTATCAAGCTGAAAATGCAGAAAATTTCAGTCAGAAAGAACAATACTGTTGTTAGATTTGTAGCATATGTGTTAAAAAATTAACACTTGGAGATACAGCATTGGGTATTAAACTGATGGTAACTACTTTGTGTGTGCTGATTTATGGAGACCTTTCTGTATAGCGCATAGTTGGTCATTGGTCTAACGATGGTCTAACCTATCCTAAACAAACCAGTTTACTCTATCAGGAAAGACCTAGGGATTGGCTGCCAGTGTACTGCCGCACTGCGGCTGTCAATGATTCCCAGGGACCCAGCCAGAACTTTTTAGTTCACTCAACTAAGACAAATTCATTTTAACTAAATTTTCCTTTCCTACTTCAGATTTATTGCTCAGACTTGTTTGTTGTAAAATTCTACAAAATGGATGAGATATACTTAGTGCAAGTTGAGTGAGTAGAATCAAACTTACCTTATCTCTAGTACTTAAAAGTTGGTCCTTCTGGCCACCTAGTTCTTCAATTATTCCAACACCAATTTCGTCAGTTTCAGCAGCAATCCGATGAGTTCTGTCTAAGCTGCCAGATGCTCTGTTCAAACTCTCTGTTCCTTGTATAAGACGTGTTCTTTGATTTGCATGCATTGACTTAAAAATTTCAAACAAAAACAAAAACATAAGTTTTTCAATTCATATACTGTAAATAATGTTGATAGATGTTTCTGAATAAAACCCACTGGAAAAAGGTGCTGTCCCCATCAGGATTTGTGACCAAGACCATCAGACTACAGCTCAGTAATGTTTAGTGTTGCCATACTTCAACTTTATATGTTTGGATATTTAATAATATTATTACAGTA